AGCAAAGATGATATCCTCGGGGTTGACCGCACACTGTAGGATCTGCTGCATCTCCTTCTGGGACGCACAATCAAAACCCAAGCCTTTCCTGGCCAGGAGAGCAAGCAAAGTCTTGTTGTCATTGCATTTAACAGCTGAGGAGGTTATCAGCAGTGAGATGTAATTCATAGGCATGGACAAGAGGATCATTGATGGACGAACCGTAGAAGGGTTTGACGAACGGGAGCTGGGTGTTCCACTCGTCTAATTTCTCGACAACGGCGTCGAGGTTGCCAACGAAGAACGATGGTCCATTTTCACCCACAGTTCTTAGGTGGTCTCGCACAACCGATTGTGTCGTAGTGCCAACTCTGACAGTTGATAGAGAATCTGCGATCAATGATTCGGACATTCTTAGGTGTATCAAGAGACGCTGGCAGAAGGGTCGTTCCTGTCCTCGGCAGGGTTGGAGGTTTGCGGAAATACTTATAGGATCCGAGGGAGCGCCGTGACTCAACTTGTTGAACAGTCTCACGATTTGCAAAGGCCGGCGAAGGAGTTGGAATGAACATTTGGCGCAGACGTTCGCGCATGGTCTAGCCTGTGGAACCCAATCTCGCCCGCGGATAATAGCGCGGGTTGAGCACGAGATACAGGGAGCTTGCATGCTGCATCTGGTGTGTTCCGCCTCATGTGATGCTCCGACTAGAGCAGGTACAAATACCACGGCGGGCGCTAATGGCCCAAAGCTGCAAAGACTCGGTCCTGTCGACCAAGCTGAGTTGTTTTGCAAGCATGCGTGACCAACCAGCCTCGGACCTGCCGTCCAGCCGCAAACATCTATCACAATGGAGCACTTGGCGCTCGTCAGTATGGTTCACGGTATTGGTCTGTGGATTCACGCTCTTCACAGTATGTCAGATGGAGGACCAGAATGCCACCGTAGTCTAGCTAACGCGCCTAGGACACATTCCTTTACTCTATGGTAGGCATTGCGGCCGCGTGTGAGAATATGCACTCATTATCCATAGGCTGTGCCCATTCTACCATTCGCCCTGATACAAAAGACCCATATCCCGGAACAAAACGGTATGTGTACGCAAGCCAGAGCTACAACCGCATCTAAACAAGACTAGTGCAGACTTGGATTTCTATCCTGTTGGCAGTGCACGGTGCAGGTATTGCAGTGGCCTCCCGTGAGTCCTATCTTTATTCTCTGCCTTTTGTTGTACTCATTCCGACCTTGTCAGCTATCTGTGCGTGGTGGGCTGACCACAGTGCCACTCGAAAATGGCCTTACTTGTTCGGACTCGTCGGGCTCTCGAGCGCTACCGTTCTGCTTGCCCTTTCATCGTCCATCACGATGCTCGTCCTCGGTCGGCTACTACAGGGTCTCTCCGGGGCGGTTGCATGGACGGTGCCTCTGGCAATTGTGACCGACCGCGTGACAGTTGACCAGGTCGGCCCGTACCTAGGGTATATGACCATCGGGCGAAGCATTGGGATGTCCGCCGGCCCACTGGTCGGCAGTCTTGTGTTTTCCTACGGAGGCTATCTCCAAGCATATATTCCGGCTTTT